TATGTACTCAACGGCACTGATGTCTGCCTCATATACAAGAAGCCCTAAAATTATATTATATTTTCTATAAAAATATATTTAATTTTAAAGCGAAATGTGTGTCAAACGCGAAGGTAAACATATTTTTAAACATTTCCTAATGCTAATTATGTATTGAAATGAAATGTACTTTAATTGGATATTTAATATATAAAAGCAATTCACTCTCAATGAATTGAATTTTTATTTTTCTTTAAAAATATTCTGTTGAACATTACTGAGAATATTCTGTTGAGAATTTATTTCAACAAAATTATCTTAGGGCATTTGGTTTTGTTTGAATAATATAATTAGAAATCCTCGTTTCTAAGCTAATTATTTATATTTAATAGCGAAATAATTCAAACATTATTCCGTAAACTTAAAACTATGCAATTGTTTCATATTAGCAGAATATTAAAATAATAGCCATAATAATTGTACATATCAGTATGAGGTACATATTGTACATATTAATATTAGTATGGTGTTCCCTAATTGCAGGTGTGGGCAACCTATGCGGTGGTCTCTTCACAATCCTAATGCTTATCATAATGTTTAGTGTCGCTCACCGAAGGNTGCCCTCGTGCCGGTCTCCCCGGTCGGCATCTCCCTGTCCTCCCTGTCCACCACAGAACTGGCAGTTTTCGCCGTTGATAACAGTGATGGCAAACGACAGTTCAGAAGACTTGCAGCAAATCATCGATTCGTACGGCGATTGCAATGCAATTGAGTCGAGGCTTCCCTTAAACAGTGATATATTGAATGGATTTGACTATCAATTCACGGATTTGCCGCCGCTTTACCATCAGTTGGATGTCATACCCACTGACGGACCGCCTACTTATGAGGAGGCCATCGAAGACAAGCAATTGACAAACAAATAGTCTTCAGATATCTTCCAGAAATTAGTCTCCAATTACAGTACTTCCAGAGCTTTCCAGTCGTTTGCCTTTCATTTGACTGAAAAATAATATTTCAACAAAAAGTCAACTAAAATGTTAAAACTCTTCACTAATAATAATTAATAATTTTGTCCTCAAATATCCCATTAGTTTAAAAGGAAGCCAAATAACAGATGAATGTTTTATATGTTGTCTATAAAGCACAACAAATGAATGGTTTTTATTAATTATGTAAAAAAACTTTGTTATACGAGATGTTTGTTAAGATATTGAGATATAGAAAGTCGTTAGGAATGTCTGCATATCCTCACTGGCAATGAAACCAAATACAAACTAATACAGGAATTCATTATTTACTACATGTTTAATATAAGCTAGTTAATTAAATGGCAATTTGTATGATTATTAAATACTCAACAATTAACCAAATTATGAAGCAAATGGAGCCGTAAATTGGATTTTAATAACTTTAGTGATAATACTCTCAATCGATTAATACAGACAAACAAAAAACCAAAAATTCGTTACAAATTCAAGTTTACTCTTAATGTATAAAATAAGAAAGTAATTGTGATTAAAATTATATATTAATATACAGTTATATATAGATTAATATCCATTGTATTAAATGAGACTTCATATTAAGAAATATTTTGTAGAATAACTTATTCTTTTATATATAACTAAATAAAAAACTCATTTATTGTTAAATGAAATAAATGTAACAAATGATTAGATAAAACTTCGGTGGAATAAAATCATACTTTAAGATACAACTGATAATATGTTTACCTTTAATTGAAACTGAAATTTCATTAGTAATCACATTAATTGCAATAAAACACCACTCATTCATAAGTTATGAATCCTAAGCATACAGATATGACACTGTATTGGAAATGGCATTTAATAGCTATCCACTTTTCATGGGTCTGGTAAGTGTTTATCACCACTGAATTTGTACTCAATTACCATGACAAACAGTATTTTCAATTACCTTTACAACCTTGATAAGTCTTGTATTATACTGTACAGTATTTATATAATTTTAATCTCGTAATGTTATGCGAGTAAACGGATACTAATACAACTGAAGTCTAAAGTGAAACTATTTTATTTATTTTCCATGTTTATGTTTTTAAATTATAAAATTTTATTTAGATTTTTGATTTATATTTTATAGAATTAATAAATGATCAATAACCTATTTTTAGTAAACATTTTATTAATAAATAGTGTATTAATAATATTTTAGTTTAATAATCCATAAGTTTTAATAATAAATCGATTGAAATGAAGTATAAAATATTAATTTTAATGTCTGTGATCTGTATTAAATTGGCAAAACCTACATCTAATGACTCGGACGGGAATATGATGTTTAAAAATAATGTATTTAATGAGACGACAAGTGAATCGACAACTGAGAAAATAAATGTAGTTTTCGATGCCTTTAAGGTATTATATAAAATTAGTTGGTTTTAGTTTATTAGTATATTTATAGTAATAATAAGTATTAATAAATGAAAAGGACTTAACAAAAGACAAAATCTATTTATATATATATTTCATAACTTTCTTAACTTTATATATTTCAGTCGACATTCAATAAGAGCTACAATACATCGGAGAATGAGATGAGAAAAACTAATTTCTTGAAATCCATTGACTTTATCGCCAAACATAACCAATTGTTTTTGAACGGCACTGTCAGCCACGGCTTGGCGCCCAATAAATTCATTGATCTGGTCTCACCATTCATTCATTTAATTAATTAACAAGCAGAAAAAATATTTTTAATTAATTTTCTCATACTCTTTTCATCCGATAATAATTAGTCGGACGACGAGTTATCAACAATAATACGACAGCAGAATATTCGCAAGAATTTTAATCTACAAAATTCTAAGCAGAAAAAATATTTTTAATTAATTTTCTCCTATTCTTTTCATCCGATAATAATTAGTCGGACGACGAGTTATCAACAATAATACGACAGCAGAATATTCGCAAGAATTTTAATCTACAAAATTCTGTGCCTCGAAAGCAAGGGATGTATGAAAAATGCTTTTTATGTGTTGCTTTCAATAGAGAGAAAAATGTATTTTCAATTAATTATGGTTTTGTGTGCGAAGTGTGTACGATGTGGACAGTTGTGTACTGCCCCTGGAGTTTGATTGGCGTGTATTGGGTAAAGTGACGAAAGCCAAGGATCAGATGAGTTGCAACTGTTGCTATGCGTTCACCGTCGTGGCCACCATTGAGAGTGCGATCGCTATTCACCGCAATCTGTCGGCACATCCTCGCGACGATACGGACGCCCCGTCCATAGATCTATCGGAGCAGCAAATAGTGGACTGCTCTGCCTCTGCAAAGTATCACAACAACGGCTGTCAATACGGATATATAGACGACACCTATCAGTATGTGATGGACAGAGGCGTTGTCACGGAAGCCGATTATCCGTACATCGAAGCAGTAATTATTAGTTTTATATTGTTTTTTCAAACAAACATATTATTTATGGCGTTTAAAATGTTCAGAAGTCTGTGTGTTTGGATGAAATACAAACAAACCGCACATATATCGCCAAATTCAACCACTTGTCACATCCGGGTATAAATCAAATAAAGGATGTAATCTATAGGAGTGGACCCGTCATCGCACTCATCAATAACGATGGCCTCGATTTCATTTTCTATAAGTCCGTTCACTAATCATTAATTATAGATATAATTATATATTTATGTCTAAAGTCGAGGTATAATCAAAACTCCGGACAAAAGCCATAGGGAGAGGAATTACAATCACGCGGTGGTTATAGTGGGATGGGGTCTACACAATGGCACCGAGTATTGGATTGTGAAGAATAGTTGGTCTCAAGACTGGGGATACAATGGGTTCGCTATGATTGAGTTCGGGGTCCGAGGAATCAATGATTATATTTATTATCCAATTCTGGACGATACGGATGACAAGAATTTTAACCACACCTTAATCATTGGTAATCAATTCAACGATATATTGTATTACACTATAATCATAACTAGAAACTCGAGCAATGGATACCTATCATAATGCACTAATATTTTTTAAAATGGGTAAATTCATTAATCTTTATTTTATTACAATTATTTTATAGTATTAATAATTGCATCGATTATAATGTTTGGCGCAATATTGATATGTCTGGTGCTATGTTTTGATAAAAGAGGCAAATTTTTATATCGTCCCAAATTAAACAGTATAAAAACTTTAATTATACATATTTCATAAAGCATAAAAATTACTTAATGATAACTATGTTTCAGTGAAAGTAATGTGGATGAAAAATGCCAACACACTCTCGGAATCTAATTTACTTAACAAAAGTCCATTGCCTCAATTTAATCCGACACCAGGATCTGTAAGTTTATTTTGTTTAATAATAATTATAAACTAATTTATTTTTTCTTGTTTAGAAATGTCTGGATAATAATAATAATATTTAATTAAAATAATTTATTGAAATATAATACAAGCAAGAAATGAAAGTAAAACTATTATTCAAATACTGAACACTGAAACAATTGAATGGTATAACCATATAGTGATTTACATTTGATGTGATATTTAAGTTTTGCGCTCAAAATAGCGTAGATATGCAGTGATATATATTCTGTGACTTTTGCGCAAAACTATTCTGTTATTTATAATCATTATCCATATATGTCTTATAAGTCTTATAAGAATTTATTATGAATTTTTAAATAATTTTAAGAATATTACTTTAAAATAAATAATTATTTTGTGTAAATATTTTAAAAATTTATGTGAAATAATACGATTAGATTTTAAAATTGTGTTTTTATACATTAATACGTTTTCAAAGTAAATAAATATTTCTTAATAAATATTGAAATCGTGAATTCATTGCCAATAATAATGATCATAATACACAATAACGATAGCACCATAAGTCTGAGTGAATTTGTGATGTTATTAATGATACTATTATTGATATTATTTGGTTTCATAACATCAAACCCTAGTTATATCATAGAAGCGCTCATAATATGCATATTCGGAGTCATAATGTTTGCTCTCTATCTCTATATTAAAAAGTATGCAAAACGACAGTTAATTAACACGAGAATCGATGAGACAAATGACAACAACACTGTGTTTCCCACGACTATCGGTATATTCACAACAATAATACCTATGAATAACAGCATCACTGATGAGGACTTATGCTGTTATGAGACGTCCGTCGGCTCTGTCGGTCACATCAGCGATGATTTGCCGCCAAATTATGAACAAATTCATCAAAATAATGATCGGTTGCCAACCTATGAAGAAATCACGCAAAATGTCTAGTTTTCCAGAATAGTTGTATCAATAAATTACCATATTCAATTCACAACTGGATATATATATAAATAAACATATTTTCATCAGATTTTTTACGAGTAAATGTTTGTTATAAAATAGAAATTCTACCTAGGCACAAATAAGTTGATTTATTAATAGATTTAAGACAACAAATTGTATTCATTAGTAGATATTGTGATTTATATAAATAACAATTTAATAATAACTTATTGTTATTGTAAATACAATATTGTTTATGTTATATCATAAATATGAATATTATGTAATGTTAACACTTTGGATTTTGTTAATTATTATATGTTATCATCCACTTATGTAAAGTTTTATAAATAAAATAAATTGTTAAGACAGTATTTGTTTTGATAAAATGTTGCTACTTTATGATTTACAATGTCTTAATTGTAACATGTTCAAACATTATTTAGCACAAAGATTTTATTTAAATAATACTGGTACCTAAATAATGGTACCTAAATAATAATACTGGTATTTAAATAGTACCTGGTTTAGGATTAGACTTAATTATTTGATTTTTATTAATGAAGAAAAACGATATGTCAGTATATTAGTGCTTAATATATTAGTGAAAAACGATATATTAGTGCTGATATATTGGATAAAAACTGACAAACCATTGGATATCATGACAAGTGAAAAGCCAAACCATAAACTCATTAAACTCCACAAAATGAGACAAACTCTTCAAATGATATCTTTGGTGACTAAGTGTATACCAGTGCTGTCAGTTCGGGTACGAACACCTTAATGACAAACTTTTTAGTACCCGTAATGGCTATTAGTAACCGTATAGTACTCGTGATGACAATCATCTTTTAGACCACAAAATTGATAACATCTTTCACTTATTATTTCATCTAAACTCCTATTAACTTCAAAAATATTGTGAAAATTCGCTAAAAGTTGATCGAGGTGTTCATATGTGAGATAATGTCCCGAATAACCTTTTGCTAGTTTTTTAATTTCCATTATGCGATACATTTCTATACAATTATATCGAGTTTTAAAACCTTTGCTTTGAGTGTGATTTTGCTTTGAATCTCTTTTCTTAATAAATATTTCTTTGAAATACAGACAGTGATTGCCGGTAACGAAATGGTCGACACTTTCTCATAACTAACTGAAATTGTTATCGTAAATGAGAAATATATTTTACATATTTTTAATATTTGATACAAACATATTGATAAACTTAATGCGAAAAATATGACTTTAATAAAATTGTGAGTTAAATAAGTTTTAATTGATAAGAATTTGTATAACATTTTGTTTTTTGTAAAGTTTTATATTTAATAAGAAATTTTATTTTTTAAAAGTCAAGTGATTTGAAGAATTTTAATATAAACATAATCTTTTATAAAATGTAAAAGTGATAAAATATTTATTAAATTGAATTGTATTGCATATCTCATCAAAAGAAAATATGTTAAGAAATTGTAAATGAAATGCAAATCAAAAGTAAAGTACATTTTATATATTTACTGTATATTCACGTGGGAGAAAGTACATTTTTATAAGCATAAAGTGTTATAAATATTTAATATTCTGTACCAATTGACTAAAATAGTTGACAATTCTTTGTTTGATAAGTAGAAAGTCTTAAGAGAAATACCAAATTTAATGCTTTATTTACAAAGTATATTTTTAATTTAGACAAGGTATTGAATATATGAATAGTGTGCAAACAAATCAAAATAAGAGTTTGCAATCATCAATTCTTTTAAACTAATTTATTGTTTATAATTATTAAATATTCTGAAAACAAATAATAAATATTGAAAATCAATATTATTTTTACAAACATGAATCAATATAATTTTATGAGTTAAAGTTTTATTTCATAACTTATTAAGCGGCGGTGCGGTGGCACTGGACTCGACCGGCGGTGACGAGTCGTTGCTGTTGCCGGTGGGCCGTTGCTGTGGGGCCGGCGGTTGTTGCGTAGGTAGTTGTGCGGGACAACTGTTGGCATCCGTGGTGGCGGGCGCTGGCGGTGGGGCGGGTGGCTGTATGCCTTTGGTGGGCACCACGATGGGCACGTCGCCCACCGTGTAGAATATGTTGAGTTTGGCGCCCCCCATGCGCGGCGGTGCGATCACGTGCACCTTATGCTCCTCTTGCTGTAGGCGCTGGGCCATGGCTGCCTGGGTGAACCTGGCATGGGCGTTCCAGTGCGCCGAACTCGGGTCGTCGAAACACAGCTTGTTTATAATACTGGCGCTGATGTAGACCACGATTAGGCCGATCACTGACCCGCAGATCACGTAAATGAATTGAGACCAACCGATACGTGTCGTCGACTTCACGATCGATAGGATTATTATTAATATGAGAAATGATAGCCAAAACAAATCCTCCAGACCTGTGACGGTCACCAAATGAAACATTACAATTAGTTCCCAAACACATCATTCAATATATTATAGAAGTCTATTCTTAAATGATCAGGAGACATCTAAATTATCAATTAATGAATACTATTATCTGTTAATATATTATTAATATGAGAATACTGTATTTGTAGAATTTGTAAATGAATAGAGTGATAAATAGACAGCAATAAGCATAATAAACATAATGTCACATAACTCTGTGCTAATTATGTGAATATATAATTTTATGACATTTATCTCTCCATTTAGAAACCGAATAAATTAAATAATGAGTGAAATAGAGTCACATACTATTGGATAGCATTACAACAGATATGTTACGAGCAAAAGATTAAATGAATTCAAATATCATGTAATACACGACAATTAATGAGGAATGGGATGTTGTGGGCGGGGATACCCTAGATTTAGATCATTCTCCACATTCACCACAGACACAATGGCTTCAACCGGAAGAAGAACTTCGTGTGAAACTTCGTGACCTCCGTACGTAACCGGTGAACTAACCAGACAGGGAGTAGTGAGTTCTGGTGGTCATCAATGCTGTTCTCTTTATTGATGTCATATTTCATTGTCTTCATAGTATAGTATGGCGTCCACTATAAGAACCCAATTATCTCTCAATAGCTGTGTCTGTGGTTGTGGTGAACGGAGACGATAGCGACTGGTCTTCAGCCGAGCACAACATAACACAAAAGTCTTGTGGCGTTTGGAGACACCGTTTTAGGTCTGACGATGCGGTCGAAGCGAGTGGAAAAGGATGTCATATATTATACGTGCACTTCATGTGAACTCATATCGGGTTTGTTCACAACAATAGACAATAAGGAGTCAATGTTTAGGCAAAACATGATTCAACTCTCGATTCTGTACTCAAATTCTGTATTAAATAGGTTTTGATTTTGTCGATTCATATCATATATTCATTGCATCTCTTATTTATTTGGTGTACATAATAGAGAGTACGCCATATCTACTATGGGAAAGGCGTTATTATAATAGTATTATTATTCCCTTTTATGGAATGGTAAGCATTTTTCGGGTAAATGAATGCCATTGAAAAGCGCCTGTATGTGGAAGCCATTGAGAGGCCTGACACACAGCGATCACACCATTACATCTTATTATTGATCCGAATGCTCGCATCCCATCCCTTCCCTCCAGTGCCGCATCAGATGTGCTCTCATAGTATTCACGCAACTTATAGTACACATACTCTACCAGTTGTAGCGCTAATACTACTCCACCAGCGCTTTAGTCATCCCATTCACGCATTCACTTAACATTACATGGATATAGCCATTGGATGCACTCATTTGTAAATATCAAGTCATTTATGCAGTTTTACGCTATGATTCAGAAATTTACGAATTTCTCACTTTTCTAATTATATGACTCTCGATGCGCTTAAATGCATGTTATGTTTGATTTTATAGCATTATTTTTAGTCAATTAAAGTATTTTGTATTTTATTTTTATAAAATTCTTTAAATATTAATACATTTTAAGGCATTAAAATCTAGAACTAATTATAGACTAATTAAAAATATATATTTAATATAACTTTAAGGGCAATAACATTGGTCAAACTTTAAGCTAAAATGTGATGCATTGATTTAACAATAATATTATTTGTGGCTTAAAATTGTATAGAAAAATGGTTAACTGAAAGGGTATATCAATGTCTGATATGTCACTCCATTTCATTGATAAGTTTGAACGGAAAGACATCTGAGCACTTGAATTGACTGGCAGTCAGACTGCCGTATAAATAATGACTTTAGTTGACAACCAATAACATAAAATTCAAAAGAAATTCATTATCAGTGATTGAAAATAATATACACCATATTATACAATATGATTTACATTGCATGTACAAAACATGTAAAAACTATTGTTTATTTAGTATACTGTGTGGTAGTAAATATTCATAATATTTTATTCATTTGTTTTATAAGATATGAAACAATAAAGTGAATACAAAATGAAACACTATTAACAAAATTGAACATTTATTATGCAATGAATTTTAAATAAAAGTCAATCTATATATAACACGGTATATAATTTTTGGTTGTTTTTCCGTCAACTTATTCTACTATCGATTGAGTCAAATCATATGATCTTTAAATCTAAATATATTTAGTATTTAAATGAAGTAAATATTTAAATATTATTTTTATTTAGTGCCCGAATTATGTCTGGTATTATAATAATGTACTTTCTTAAAATTTTAAGTACAATTTAGATTATTATAAGTTTATTTATATAAACGCTAAATGTTTAGCAAGTAAATAGAAAGCTACTTTTTTGACAAATAATTGCAAATTGAATGAGCCCTTCATAAACTTATCGAGTTATGTATAAATTAAGTTCATTGCAGAGCATTGTAATTGACAAAAGTGTTAAACTTGTATTTTTTATCATGTGCTTGATCATATGTTTGTACCAAATGTCCAAAATATGTGACCTCTACTTCTCCTACACGACCACCACTTCTGTCTACTATGAAAAAGTGTCGACCATTTCGTTGCCGGCGATTACTCTTTGCATTCAGAAGAGGTATTTATT